CAGCTGCTCAATGGTCTCCACAACCTTCCTGTCAGCTCTCTGAGGGGCTGTGGGAAGACATCAGATCCAATCAAATCCACTCACTGATTCCCCTCATCAGCAGAGCAGCAACATCTTGTCTGATCTGTTCTTTGACACACTGACACTCACAGTTTTTCAACAGGTAATACAACACAGGTTGGACTTAATGCCAAAATGTTTTGGGTTGGAAGGGACCTCTGGAGATCACCCAGGCCAACCTCCTGCCCCGGCAGGTCACCTGGGGCAGGTGACACAGGGATGCATCCAAGTGGGTTTGGAATGTTTCCAGATCTGTCCCAGTGCTCTACCACCCTCCATGGAAAGAAGTTCTTCCTCATGCTGAGGCAGAACTTGTGGTTCAGTCTGTGGACATCACTCCTTGCCCTGTCACTGAGCACCACTACAAAGAGTCTAGCACCATCCTCTGGACACCCCTTGGAGATATCTGTATGGATTGATGGGATCTCCTCTGAGGTTTGTCTTCTCTGGACTACTCAGGCCCAGCCCTGCAGTCTCTCCTCATCAGAGATGCTCCAGACCCCAAATCATCTTTGTGGCCTTCCTGGCCCCTCTCTAGTAGCTCCCTGTCTTTCCTCAATTCCTGACCTAATAAACCCACAAAAATTAGCAACAAACTATATCCTGCAAAGTCCCTTACAGCAGTTTTTACCTTTAGCATCAGGAGAGGATGTTTCCAGCTTGTCTGTGGGCTCTGCTTCCTGTTTTTTCATCTGGATGGGATACCCACTCTTCTCCAACCAAGCCTTCAGGTTCTCAATGTACTCCCTCCCAAACAAGGTGGAATCATCAAAATTTGGGAATAGTGTTGGTGCTGGAGCCATTTCCTGGAGTCCTACAGCTTCCAGGATTTTCTCTTGCCTGAAAACTGATGCCAGAGCAAAGGTCTGACCGAGGAGAGCCAGAGACTTCCGACACAGAGACACTGTGGTCTCAAAAGCATTTGCCATTTCCCTTGGGTTGCCAAACCCACTGGTTTTAATGCTGAGCTCATAGGCATTGCAGGCCATGAGCAGTGGAGTGACCCCCTTGAGCAGACGGTCCTGGAGCCTCATGATGTATTTATCAAAAGGTTTGATGATCTCAAAGAAGCAATTCTTGGTTTTCACAGCTCCCTTGTCCAGCAACATGTTCAGGAACTCATTGTCCACTTTGGGAGTTTTCAGAGCAGCATGTTGTAAACTCTTGATAGTAAAGAAACAATAATCTCTGTGTTCTGGCTTTAGGGAGCACTTGAAAGAAGCCAACATTTTGGCACAGGTCTCTGTCTCCAGCTCAAAGAGAGCTCCGAAGAGACGGGAGAACTCCGCGTCGCTCTTGATGGCATGAAATCCTGCCCACTTGATAATCTCCATGCCAAACGTGGAGAAGATGTCTGATTTATCCACCAGGTCGAAGTTGAGATTCCTGAACACGTGTGCAGGCTTTGGCAGCCTCAGGATGGGCCTGTGGGCTGCCAGGGCTGGCCTCTGGTTAGGTCGTGGAGGTAACTTGGGGCCCGGGCGCTGGACGGGCATTGGCCTCGGGTTGGGATGTTCGGCTGCATCCGGTGGCTGATCCAGACTTGGCTTTGGGTCCAGGCCTGGCTGCAGCTTTTTAGTGTTCCACTTCTTGAGGGGAGCTTTGATGTCTCCTTTGAACACCTTGGCTTTCAGCACTCCCCTGGTGAGATGTTTGCCCCGCAGACCTCTGCCCCTGCCCACGCTGCCCCTGCGCAACGCCGGGCGGAACTCGCTGTCCTGACCCCCGAACTCCCCCTCGTACTCCTGGCTCTCCATGCTGCCATACTCCTCTCCCATCAGTCCTGGCGACCTGAAATCCCCTAAGATCTCTGAGGAACTGAAATCAGGCTCATGTGGCCCTTCCCAAGAGTCAGCAGGGCCATAGTCCTGGTCGTGAGGAGCCAGAGCTGTGTATTCCCTCTCGTGGCCTGGGGGCCGCCCGTACTCCCTGTCGTGGGCAGTGGTGTGTCCATACTCCCTGTCCCGTGATGCTGGGCACCCATACTCCCTGTTCTGGGAAGCTGGATGCCCATACTCCCTGTTTTGGGAAGCAGGACGCCCGTATTCCCGGCCAAACTCCCGGTCCCGAGCTGCAGGGCGTCCGTACTGCTCGTGGAAGTAGTTGTCCTTCCGGAGGAGAGGGCTGGCAGGTCTGTAGGAAGGGCCTGGATAGTCTTCTCTGGGCTCCTCACTCCAGTCATTGTGGGGGTGGTGCTGGGAGTTGTCATGGGGGAATCTCCCATCGTCGTGGAAAGCGTCGTCGTATCGTGGCCTCGGGACTGGCCTGGAGTGAGCTGCGGAGAGAAACCAGGAATACACCAATGTGCTGCCAAAAAATGAGGGGATAATGGCACACCTAGAGGCTCAAAAGTGTGGAGGTATCCAAAAGACTGAAGGAAATACACAGCTCTAACCCAGGAGATTCCCATCTGCCCTCTTGCTTACATCAAACAACACAAGTTCTGCTCCAAATCCAGTTTTCCAGTTCCTCACCCCTCTCTCAGTCAGGAAGATGCTGATGTTGTGCTCAAGATGCTTCTACTGAGGTTTCTCAGATGTAAGGCTCAAAAGTGTGGAGGTATCCAAAAGACTGAAGGAAATACACAGCTCTAACCCAGGAGATTCCCATCTGCCCTCTTGCTTACATCAAACAACACAAGTTCTGCTCCAAATCCAGTTTTCCAGTTCCTCACCCCTCTCTCAGTCAGGAAGATGCTGATGTTGTGCTCAAGATGCTTCTACTGAGGTTTCTCAGATGTAACAACACCTAAAAACTGAGCTGTTTGCTCCATAGGATCATTGAGGTCGGAATCACTGAATCAATCAGGTTGGAAAAGACCTCCAGGATCATCAAGTCCAACCTGTGACCCATCACTTGGCACTGAGTGCCACATCCAGTCTTTCCTTGGACACCTCCAGGGATGGTGACTCCACTACCTCCCTGGGCAGTTCCAATGCCTGACAGCCCTTTCCATGAGGAAATTCCTTCTGAAGTCCAACCTGAACCTCTCCTGAATCAACCAGGTTGGAAAAGACCTCCAAGACCATCAAGCCCAACCTGTGACCAACCAGGCCAGAGTTTCCAGGCTGAGTGGAGGAATTCCACAGCTGGATAAAGATCCTATTTTCTACAAACTCCTGCACAATTATCTAAGATGCCATTACAGGGAAATCTAGTATTTCTGACTTTAAATTATCCCTAATTTCGGTAGTTTAATTCAAGGTAAAGAATACTTGGAAAAAATGAAGTATTTAATATAAATTCTTTCTTCAGAGCTTGAAAAACAACACATCTGATTTTAAAACTCTCCTGTGAATGTAATTAAAGTTATTGCCCTAGACACTTCATATACCAAATTTAGAAGACAAATCAATTTGCAGAGGATGTTTTGTGCATGTCCAGGAGCTTCATGTCCTGCTTTGAGCTTCTCCAAACCCACCAGGAGAAACACAAAGCCCCAGTGAACTCCCACATTAACTTACCAGCCATCATCACAATTCCACATCCCTATAGACCTCCCTGAAACTGGACCCAGTGTTCCACGTCCCTGGAGACCTCCCTGAAACTGGACCCAGTGTTCCACATCCCTGGAGACCTCCCTGAAACTGGACCCACAATTCCATGTCCCTGGAGACCTCCCTGAAACTGGACCCAGTGTTCCACATCCCTGGAGACCTCCCTGAAACTGGACCCACAATTCCACGTCCCTGGAGACCTCCCTGAAACTGGACCCACAATTCCACGTCCCTGGAGACCTCCCTGAAACTGGACCCACACTGCTGCAAGCCAGAACAGAATCCCTTTGTCTGAAATTCCCCTTTTCCCCTCGGAATTCGCATTCCACACCGAACCATTCCCCTCCCGCCTGGAAATGGAGGTGGAAAAACACCCGCAGCAGACAAGCAGAGGGAGGGAAGGCAGAGCCACCCAACGCCGCGGCCGGCGGCGGAGCCGAGAGACGCTGGGTGCGGGTGGCTTTACCTTTGAAGGGCTGCCCGGAGCCGTCGCCGGGCTCGCCGCGCTCCAGGCGGTACCGTTTCACTTTGTCCTGC